TGGACTACCTGTACGGCCAAGAGGAGCTACAAGAGGAGAGGATGAACCGATGACGTCAGATGACGATGCAGATGACAGAGCTGGAGGAGAACAGCCTTTGTTGTCAGGTGACACGGCAACAGTGGAGCTGGAAAATGGAAGAAGGGTGGAGATTCCGGTGGAGTACCTGACCCCACAGCAGGAAGCAGCTGAGCCGGAACCCATCCCGACATCAGAGGCAGATGAAGCTGATGATGAAAACATGAGTGATACCGGTACACAACCGGAAGGGGTGGAGTGGAGTCCTGAGCCGATTGAGATCCCGGAGCAGGACTACAAGTTCATGAGTGAGGTTGGCGCACGTACAGAACTCAAAGCTCGAAATGAGCTGACGCGGATCGAAGCCAGCTGGTTCCATTACTCCAGGAAAGAGGACTGGGGAATGGAGCGAAAGCTCTATCCAAAGATGGAAGAGTGCTTCGATTTCATGAAGTAGAGTCGAGTGTAAAGCTAGAAGCCTCAACACTCGAAGGAGGAGTGCGAAACATCATGCGAAGCACTCACTTGTGTACACCAAAGGTGACATGCACAAATCAAGAAGTGTATATACAGGCCGCTGTTTCAGGTTGTCAAAAGGATCCGCAGTTTGATAATGAACTCCAATGAAAATCTCGTTCTGTGACATGGTAGGACTCGAAGCGGGACCAAATGTCAAACCCCGGAGCTGTTTTGGACGCTCACTCGCACCGTTTACAGTGCGAGTGCAGGCTCATGAGTTGAGCGTGCGCCTGGATGCCTTGAGACTGCTGTTGGGGAGCCCTGATTGGAGGGTCTCCTGGTTCTCCTTCCTTTCGTTTGGCAGTGGAAGAAGAGGCTCACGTTTGGCAGACGTGTGGCCGTGTGGCCTGTCCTGGGGTACTGCTATCAGCTTCGACGCGACCCATCGATCCTGAAGAGGCAAGAGATGCAGCTGCCCTCACTTCCGCGGAGCCGGGGAGCCAAAAGGTAGCGACCGGGCAGCCTGCAAGCTGCGTGACAGCTGTGGAGTGGACGACCAAGACCCAGACCTGGAGACCTGATCTCCTTTAGCATCTTTTAGTTACTAGTTTATACTATTGACAGGCTTCGCACACCGGCAATGCCCGCGGGCACAGACTACAAGCCATTCTTAATGCAGACACTGCTCGGTCAGTGCGCGCGTTCCGTTAGGCGCTTGTTCTAGGCTGAACAGAAAGGAACAAAAATAACCACGCTATTTGCGCATTTTTGTTCTTTTTTGTGGCAGCAAGCACAGTAAATACCGATGGTTTTAGGCTATCAAGCAAGGGTTTTTGATCGCTCTGCGACAGAACACGGTGTTCACAGTGTTTTGCGCTCACGCGCCTTCAAAGACGTCGGTATTTATGCAATTTTTGCAGCCTTGCAACGCATTGCCTTTGAATCGAAGCTCAAAGCCGTCCCCAAAGGGGGCCCAAATTCTGCTGCCTTCCAGATCCGTCATTTTTGGTTGATCTCTCAATCTTTTTCTAGCGATTTTTTCCACCATAGGTGTGAGAGCTGCATGACGGCGCGGCGTCTGTTTCGGTCGCCGTGCGCAAGCAGAGCCGGAGGGTTGAAGTGGTGGCGCGGCGTCTGGTTCGGCACATACCGGCCCGATAGCGGGGTTAGGGGGTTTGTTGTCTCAATTAGAAGAATAGGGGGGGGCACAGTAGTAAAGAAAATAGTCTTCCCAATTCATTTTTCTTCTTTAGCTATTGTCTGGGTTGGATGCCCCCCTATTCTTCTGAGAATTTCTCCTTCCAATTGAAATATGAGCAATCCACTATCATTACCACTCGCAATAATTGACAACATCGCCCCCTACAATTGCAACAACCCCCCGTCCTTGGGAAGATTCTGTTCTTTACTCAAATCACCTTGTCCAAACCATAGCCAAAGAAATGTGAATTTGGAATTCATTAAGCTGTGTTTTGCACAGTGCGTTCTTTTGGCATCTCCCTTTATCAAGGGTCGAACGGATTATATTGTGCCAAATTCGACAGGGGACCTTTTGATCCATCCGATATTGTCTGGGGCCTTGGGGTTGGGCCTTTTCATGGCAACATTACTAAAGAAAATAGTCTTCCCAATTCATTTTTCTTTAGCTCTTGTCCAGAAAATAGTCTTCCCAGTTCATTTGTCCTTAGCTCTTTTTTGGCCCAGGTGACTTTAGTAAAGAAAACAGTCTTCCCAATTCATTTTCCTTTAGCTTTTGTCTGGACAACTCGCCTCACTTAAACCCACCAGCCTACCAGCCATTAGTTTCATTAAATTGTGTTTGGGCATTCGGATTATTTTGGGCCAAATCTGGACAGGGGACCTTTTGACCCATCCGGTCATTGCAACCGCAATATCACCATTCATAACAATTTCGCCAGACCCGGTATTTGACCAAACACGGTGTCCAGAGCTCAATACACCTTAGCATTTCTATTCCAGCCATACCCCGTCCCAATGAATTTTTCTTCAGCTATTCTCTGGACAAGGTGATTTTAGTAATGAAAAAATCATCCCAATTCATTTCTCTTTCGCTATCGTCTGGATGGCGACACTACTAAAGAGAATCGTCTTCCCAATTCATTTTTGTTTAGCGCTTGTCTGGACAAGGCGACTTTAGTAAAGAAATAGTCTTCCCACTTGATTTTTCTTTAGCTCTTGTCTGGACAAGGTGACTTTAGTAAAGAAGACAGTCTTCCCAAATCATTTTTCTTTCGCTCTTGTCTGGCCCAGAAGACTTTAGTAAAGAAAACGACAATGCAGTCCTCTGCTTTTGTTCTTGACACGGCAGTTCTCTCCAATGAACACCACAACAACACCTCCTCCTCTGGGTTATTCTTTCCTTGTGGCGGCGCCGGCTTCACCTTGGTGTTTCCTGTCGCGCAACGCAGCAGACGTATTCGGATGTTTCTTGTTCTGAAGTCTTCGGAGGAAGCCTGTGGCTCCTTTCCGTTGCTGTCCATGGCATGCTTTGACCGGTTTGCTCGCAGTTTGTAGGATGCCTGTGGCTCCTGGTGTTGTGTTTGCGTGGACGCAGTCGCCGCGCCGTTTCAGGTCTTGACG